CTCCACTCTGCCCAGTCCAGGCTTCCCAGTCTGTCCAGGCTGCCCAGTCCACTCCGCCCAGTCTATCCTGCCCAATTTGCCCAGTCCACTTCGCCCAGTCTGTCCTGCTCAGTCCAGCCTACCCAGTCCAGTTTGCCTCCAGTCTGCCCAGTTCACTCTGTCTAGTCTGTCCACCACTTTGCCCAGTCCACTCCACCCAGCCTGCCCAGTCCAGTTTGCCTCCACTCTACCCAGTCTGCCCTGCTCACTCTGCCCAGTCCAGGCTTTCCACTCTGTCCACTCTACCCATTCTGCCCAGTCCAGTCTGCCTCAAATCTGCCCACTTTGCCCAGTCCAGTCTGCCCAGTCTGTCCACTCGGTCCTGTCCAGGCTTCCCACTTTGGCCAGCCCAGTCTTCCCAGTCTGCCCAGTCTGCTTTGCTTTGCTCTAAAGGCCTCTCCGTGTGTCTGCAGGCTCCAGCTTCACCACCTCCAGCGTGTACTCCAACCTCCCCTCGGCGCCGGCCGCCACCACGGCGCCCACCGCCGCTGCCCAGCAGGTGAGCAGAGAGGTCCGACCAGGGGGGGGGGCCCACAGAACCACACAGAACCCTCTAGAACCACACAGAATCCTCTAGTGCCACACAGAACCCGTTAGAACACACTTTATCTGGATCAGGTTTGTAGAAGAAGAAGGGAGATACAGGGTCATTCAGTGTGTTCTGGAGGGGTTCTGAAAGGGTTCCGAAAGGGTTCTGCAGGGATTTTGTGGGATTAATTGGGTTCTGGGGGGATTAAATAGGGTTCTGTGGGTTTCTGGAGGGTTCTATGTGGTTCTGAAGGAGTTCTGGAGGGGTTCTGTGGGTTTCTGGAGGGTTCTGGCTGTGGACTATGGGGTTCTGGAGGGTGCTGTTGGGTTCTATGTGGTTCTGGGGGATTCTAGATGGTCCTGTGAGGTTCTGAGGGGTCTGGAGGGCTGGAGGGGTTTTATGTGGTTCTATGTGGTTCTGAGGGGTCCTGGAGGGTTCTGTGGGGTTCTGGAGAGGGGGGCTATGGGGTTCTTGATGGTTCTGAGGGGTCCTGGAGGGTTCTAGAGGGGGACTATGGGGTTCTTGAAGGTTCTATGTGGTTCTGGAGGATTCTGAGGGGTCCTGGAGGGTTCTGGAGGGGGACTTTGGGGTTCTTGAAGGTTCTGGAGGTATCTGTGTGGTTCTGGAGGGTTCTGTGTGGGCCCAAACGGCTGCAGGCTCTCTGGGTGCTGATCCTGTGCTCTGTCCCTCAGGAGTTCGGCAGCTACAGCTCTCTGGGTCAGACCCAGTTCTCCCAGTACTACACCCTCCCTCCCAGCTACACGCCGGCCGGGCTGCCCGCCGCCGACCAGCACGCCGCCGCCGCCGTGGGAGGATACTCCGCCGTGAAGTCGGAGGAGGCGGCCTCGGCCGGACTGCCCCCCCCGAGGTGGGTCTCGCCGCTCTGCTGTGATGTCACCGCCTAAAAAGCCTTTTTAAAGTCTAAAAGGTCTAAAGACCTAATAAGCTGCTTTTTCGCATTTTTCATTAATGTAAAGAGATGATTTTTTTTCATGAATTCTTTCATCTAAATACCTAAAACCTGATTTTAACAATTGTCCTTGATCTAAATACTTTTAAAAGTTTTTTTCTTTTTTTAAAGTGATTTTTCATGATTTTCATTCGTATAAATACCTTAAAAAAGATTTGAAAAATGATTTTCCTTCATATAAATATCTCAAAAGCAGATTTTTTTCAATGATTTTCCTTCTTCCAAAGACCTAAAAATCTGATTTTCCATGATTTTTATTCATATAGATATCTAAAAAACATTTTTAAATGATTTTCCTTCATAGAAATATCTCAAAAGCAGATTTTTAAGTGATTTTTCTAAAGAATTTCCAACACAGATGTTCCTCCCCATTTAAATGTATCACATACAGTATCCTCTCCTTTCTCGGGTCACATGGGACAGCATGCCCTGCTCCTATTGGCCAGTTTGGATGACTGAGCCCTGGTTTGAACCCTCTCCTCCAACACAGCCTCGTCCAATCAGATCTCTGAACTGAGCAGAAAATTATGATTTTACAGAAAACTGGGGGGAGTTGTTCCCTAAATGTGCTTTGATTTGGTTTCTGGCAGCAGGACAGCAAAGGTAAGGCAGCATTTGTGGGGCTGTTTGTTATTGGATTGTCCAAGGAAGCCCCTCTGAGCCCTTTCAGCCTCCAGATCTCCACCTGAGTTGACAGATCCCCCCATAAATAAAGCTCCAGACCTGGACCTCCTGTGTGCTCCCCTGTTCCAGACGCCAGCCCGGCTGAGAGCCTCCCGGCCGGAGCGGCTCTTCCCTCCGCGGTGACGCTGCCGGCTGCAGCCAGAGAGGACGAACTCGGCCGCAGGAACTCTGTGGGCAAAGCCAAAGGAAAGGCAAAGAAGTCGGACAGCTCGCCGCCAGCCGACGGCGACCTGGAGGTAGTCAGGCTGAGTACTATATCAGGATGAGTAATATACATTTTGCGATATAACAAAAAAACAAGACAAACATTAATTAATAATCATTTAAAAAAATATATTAATTGGACTAAATCACCTTTTAAAGGGGACATATTATGCAAAACCAAGTTTTTAATAATTTTATTAAGTATATTTGGGACTGTGGAGGGCCTGTCAGCAGGCAAAGTGTGAAAAAAAATTACTCAGTCATATTTTTGTGGGCCACCTTAGTCTCAATACAGGAGATAAATCAGGAGGTTTCAGAAATCGGTAGTTTATGACGTCATTAGCTCTAGCTCATTATAATATTCCAGACAGGCACTCAAAACCGATCGCTCTGAACGGGGCTGTTTTGATAGGGTGATTGAACTGCTATTGTGCTTCATCCTTATGGTATTTTGACCAAAGCTTGTCACAGACATTACATTAGGACACCAGGGAACTAGTTTAACTCGTTGAAATAGGGTATAATATGTCTCCTTTAAAAGTCGCTATACAGTATTTTATAAAAACAAAAAAAACCAGCAACTTAAGCAAGTATTTAGTCCCAAATTATAACAATAAATATATTAATATATGATATATAATGCATAATATGGATTATATAAATGTAATATAAAAAGTAAAAAACGATCCTTTTGTTATTTAGAAGTCTGCATGAAAATATAAATAGTGACAAAAACTCAACTGATGGCTGAAGAGCTTTTGAGCATAAATGTGCCATGTAATAAAAATATTTTGGTTTTAAATGAGATGTAAAATCCAAAACTCAGCACATCTGTTTGACCCCTCAGCACATCTGTGGGGTGTCTGTTTAGCCTCAGTTAGCTTCTGGCTGATGTCATTAATGGTTTCCCTCCTCCCATCTCTGGTTATCGTATCGGATAAAGTAAACTGGTTAAACCTTCAGTTTTCCATCTTTTTCTGAGAACCTGAACGCCTCTGTGCCATTCCAGAGGATCTTCCTGTGGGATCTGGATGAGACCATCATCATCTTCCACTCGTTGCTCACCGGCTCCTACGCACAGAAGTTTGGAAAGGTCAGTTTCCTCAGACCCATGCAACTCTGCAGGGGTCCAACCTGTGCCACCCCCCCGGTCTGACCTTTGCCCCCCCCCAGGACCCAGCCTCGGTGCTGAACCTGGGCCTGCAGATGGAGGAGCTGATTTTTGAGCTGGCAGACACTCATCTGTTCTTCAACGACCTGGAGGTGCGTGGATCAGAGTCCAGGAGCAGGTTTAGGGGTTCAGGACCAGGTTTGGGGGTCCAGGAGCAAGTCTGGGGGTCCATGAGCAGGTTTGAGGACCATGAGCTGGTTTGGGGGGGTCCAGGAACTGGTTTAGGGGGTCTAGGAGCAGGTTTAGGGGGACCATGAACAGGTTTGGGGGTCCAGGAGCAGGTTTGGGGGTCCATGAGCAGGTTTGAGGACCATGAGCTGGTTTGGGTTCCAGGAGCAGGTTTAGGGAGTCCAGGAGAAGGTTTAGGGGTTCCAGCAGCAGGTTTAGGGGTTCCAGGAGCAGGTTTAGGGAGTCCAGGAGCAGGTTTAGGGGGACCATGAGCGGGTTAGGGAGCCCAGGAGAAGGTTTAGGGGTCCATGAAAAGATTTGGGGGTCCAGGAGAAGGTTTAAGGGGGTATAGAAGCAGGTTTGGGGGTCTAGGAGCTGGTTTAGGGGGGGTCCTGGAGCAGGTTTACGGAGTTCAGGTGCAGGTTAAGTGGGTCCAGGAGCAGGTTATGGGGTTCCAGGAGCAGGTTATAGGGGTCCAGACCATGGAATCTGAAGCCCGTCTCTCTTTAAGGAGTGCGACCAGGTCCACGTGGAGGACGTGGCGTCCGACGACAACGGGCAGGACCTGAGGTGAGTGGCGCCAACATGGCCGCCGTCGCCATGGCCGCCGTCGCAATGGCCGCCGTCGCCATGGCGCCGCTCACCGCTCTGCCTCCGCCTTCCTCCCTCCAGCAGCTACAACTTCCTGGCCGACGGCTTCAACGGGCCCGGCGGGGGCGGGGCCTCGGGCGCCGGCGCCGGCGTGCAGGGCGGCGTGGAGTGGATGCGCAAGCTGGCCTTCCGCTACCGGCGGCTAAAAGAGATCTACAACAGCTACAAGGGGAACGTCGGGGGTGAGTGGGGGGGGCAGGTGGTTTTTATTCATAGAGGCTCAGTGGGTTTATCTTTAGATACAAAATGTCTGTTTAGAGATTTAATTGAATGTTTTTCCTATTTGGTTCTAAGGCTCCAAATGACTTATTTACAACATTTGAATTCCACAATAAGAACATGATTGGTGTAAAATCATTTTCATTTAGATTTCAAACAGTAAAAAAGCAGTAAAACCTGAGATTTCTGAGCTCTTTGAACACAACAATGATTTTCCTTCATCCAAAGACCTAAAAAGCTGGTTTTCTCAGTGATTTTCTACAGAATTCCTCACACAGATGTTCCTCCATTTAAATGGATCCCACACAGTTTCCTCTCCTTTCTCAGGTCACATGGGACAGCAGCCCTGTTCCCATTGGCCCATTTGGATAAAACGTCTAAAAGCATTTTCCTTTAGATTTCAAACAGTAGTGTCTGATAGTATCTGCTATGAGGCCCAGAGGTCAAAGGTCAAAGTAAAAATTAGGATCCTGGTACAGAGAGGCAGAGATGTAGCATTTTCACATCAGAACAGGAAATCAGGAAGTTTAAAAGCTCAATTTTAGCCGTGATCCCCGGAGCATTTGCAGTTTATTAGTGCTCTGATTGGACAGTGGCTGCTGGCCCTCCGACTCCCCCAAGCGGGTTCATCTGGGACTCCGGAGGTGATGGAGGCTGTGCTCTTTCCCGCAGGTCTGCTGAGCCCCGTGAAGAGGGAGCTGCTGCTGAGGCTCCAGGCCGAGATCGAGAGCGTCACCGACGCCTGGCTCAGCACGGCGCTCAAGTCCCTGCTGCTCATCCAGTCCAGGTCTGAGCACCCCTCCCTTTTTACCAGAGGCTCGGGCCAGGGGAAAGGAAGCAAAGCCAGACGTTTGGCAGCATTTTAGGAATGAGGAAGCATTTTAGGAATGAGGAGGGAGGAAGCTTGTGTTGGAGCTTCATCAGCTGCTTTAAGATGTCTGGCTAACAGCTGCTGTGAAAACAGGTGTTCAGGAGCTGGAAACAGGTTGATTTCAGAGCAAAAACGGACTCTGTTTAACCTGAGAGGACAAAATGAGGCTGAAAGTGTCTCACTGCTCAGTTTGATGAATAATCCTCTTAAAATAGGAGCTGAGTTTACATTAAAATGATAGAAAAATGTCAGTTTTTCTACTTGAAGATGAAATAATCCAACCAATTAATTTGGGGATAAGATGAATTATTAACACAAATAAAAATAAACCAGAATATCTGAAATTTCATCTGGTTTCAGCTGGTTCCTCCAGAACCAGCTCTGATTTCCACTAAATGAGCTCTGTTTCAGCAGATATTACAGACAGAAGTGGAAACGTGTTCAGGAGCTGGAAACAGCTTCTCTGAGCAGCAGAATCTCAGCATTTTGGGTGTTTTTACTCACTGGGGGCAGATGATTTAGCTTCCTGTGTGTGTGCCCTCAGGGGGAAGTGCATGAACGTGCTGGTGACCACCACCCAGCTGGTTCCTGCCGTGGCCAAAGTGCTGCTTTACGGGCTGGGAGACGTCTTCCCCATCGAGAACATCTACAGCGCCACTAAGATCGGTAGGTTTGGACGCACTGAGCGTGCTAACTGCCTCCACCGCCCCAGCTAACGGGCCCTGTCCTCCTCAGGGAAGGAGAGCTGCTTCGAGAGGGTGGTGTCCCGCTTTGGGAAGAAGGTCACCTACGTGGTGATCGGAGACGGCCGGGACGAGGAGTTCGCAGCCAAGCAGGTGCGGTTCCCCTCAGGGTTAGCATTAGCTCCCTAGACCTAGGAGGTTCAGTTCTGTTGATTCTGCGTCCAATGCCTTTATGTTCCTCTTTTAAAAATGGCCCCAGAAGGGCCCGATTGGGCCCAGTGTTAGCATTGGCTCCCTAGTGTTAGCATTTGCTCCCTAGGGTTAGCATTAATTCTCTAGTGTTGGCATTGGCTCCTTAGTGTTAGCATTAGCTCCCTAGGGTTAGCATTAATTCTCTAGTGTTAGCATTACCTCCCTAGTGTTAGCATTAGCTCCCCACCGTTAGCTCTCTAGGGTTAGCATTCCTTTCCTATTGTTAGCGCTAGCTCCCTAGGGTTAGCATTAATTCCCTATTGTTAGGATTAGCTCCCTAGTGTTAGCTCTTTAGTCTTAGCATTAGCTCACACAGAGGAGGTTCAGTTCTGGTGATTCCCGGTCCGATCTCTTTATGTTCCTGTTCGGGTTCAGTTAGCATTAGAGTCTTTGTCCTGGGCTGGGCCTCAGAACCAGAACCCGAACTGTTCTGCTAAAGCCGGCCCTCCCTCTCTGCAGCACAACATGCCTTTCTGGAGGATCTCCACCCACGGCGACCTCGTGTCCCTGCATCAGGCGCTGGAGCTGGACTTCCTGTAGGCCGACCGACGCGGCGCTGAAGGGAAGCCGCCGTCCTGCTGGACTCTGGGCCGGCCGGCGGGAACCAGCCCCCCCCCCCCCCCCCCCCCCTCCTCTGCGGCAGCTAAACTCACCGCGGCCCAACCGGCTTTTGATTTCTGTGAATTATTCAGACAGTTTTTCTCCTGATTTTTGACTTGGAAGAGCAACAGGAAGCTCATTTGTTTGGAAAAGCAGGAGCTCAGTCGGATGCTGCGACCTCTGACCTCTGACCTGAGTCATGAGAGGTCATGTTTACTACACTCAGCGGGAGGAAACATAGAAGAAGAGTGAGGTCAGTCCTCCTACACCCCTCCCACACACTCTCTCCCAGAGGTGCACAGACCTCCTTTTGACTCGTGCTGCATTCAGGGCCCCTCAGACGCCTCAGCGCTGAAGGTGTTAACTTTCATCAGGTTCTCACTGAACCAGACCAGGTTCAGATCTTGGGGGGCAGGTGTCCCAGGCCCTTGAACGCCTCACGGGGGTGAGTCTTCATAAAGGAGGTGTTTCTCCTTTTTGACATGATGAATGTCTGCGGCTCCACTGGGGGGTGGGACCTCCGGGGGGGTCTGAGGGAAACTGACCAGCTCTGAGCTGATGAAGGTTTCCACACATGCAGCTGGACGAATGTGACTTCAGTGTGTTTAGTTTGTGCTTATTTATACGTGCCTTTGAGCTCCAGCCTGAAGGGAAGCCTCCATTTCCTCCCCTCTATCCTCTTCTTCCTTCCCTCTCTTATTCCTCCTCTTCTTCCCTTTTCTTGTTCCCCTCTATCCTCTTCCTCCCCTCTCTTCTTCCTCTCCCTCCCCTCTATCCTCCTCTTCCTCCTCAGCATATTATTATGATTATTATTATGTGTTACTGGACTCTTTATATTTTTATAACCTGCCTCTGTTTGGGTCTGATGGTTCTGATGGGCAGACATCCAAAGACGCTCTGACTCTCGTTGGGTTCAGTTGCTGTGAAAGACAATCACGCTCTCCCAGTGGGGGGGGGTCAGAGGTCGGAGCCCCCAAGGAGGTGACCTCTGACCCCCCCCACTGTTGCTCAGGTGGGGGGCGGGGCCTATGTGTGAGGGGCAGGGCTTCAGGAAGTGGCTGGCTCCATCAAGTCGGTCGGACCGTTTCCATCCTGCAAAAGTTCACAGGTTTCTCCTCTGAGTGGTCTGATCAGCAGCTCCCATCTGTGTACCGCCCTGTAAATACATTTTAAACTCTTTCTGACACGTCTGGGCCTCTGTGTTCATTCTGCCGGGGGCCGTAACCGTAGAAACGGGATGCTGGGGGACGTAACTGTGGAAACGGGGGGCCGTGACGGTAGAAACGGAATGCTGGGAGCGGCGACCGTAGAAACAGGGTGCTGTAACCATAGAAACGAGATGCTGGGGGCCGCAACCGTGGAAACAGGATGGTGGGAATCAGTCCACTTTTATTGTTTATTCTTATTTAAGGCACTTCAGAGCCTCAGTTTGTGCGGGCGGAGCCTCTTTTATCACCATCTGGACACTGAAACTCTAGCACCATCATAAAGTATTAACATCACAAGTTCTGCAGTCATTAAAAATTATTGTACAAATATTATAAAATATTGTTCAGCAAATATTATAGAAGATATGATCTTATTGTACAAATATAACATTTTGTACAAATATAAAATATTGTAAAGATATAAGATCTGATTGTACAATTATAAAATATTGAACAAATATAAAATATAATTGAACAAATAAAATATATCAGCTTATTGTACAAATATTATGAAATATTGAACAAATATAAAATATTACTGAACAAATAAAATATATCATCTTATTGTACAAATATAAAATTTTGTACAAATGTAAGATCTTATTGAACAAATATAAAATGTTATTGAAACAATATAAAATATATCATCTTATTGTACAAATATTATAAAATCTTATTGTACACAGACGCTTCAGCCGGGGGGGGGGTGCTCTGATAAGTGCTCCCCTCCCCTGTGGGGGTTTGGGGGTTGAAGACCGGGTTTCTGTGGGAAAAGCAAGGCTCGGCGGCCCCCTGGCTTCTTTGGCCGCCACTCATAAGTAGAAGTTCTCGGCCAGCTTCTTCATCCTGTGGTTGGTCGGGGGGGCCCTGTCGTGCTCCGGGACGGCGGCCATCGACCTAAACTGCAGCTCGCCATCCATCTCGCCACTGAGCGTGCTCCGCAGGGCGCCATCCGGCTCGTCGCTCTCTCGCAGCGTCTGGGCGCCGACGCCCCTCAGCTCTTCCTTGCGCAGGTTCGGGTGGAAGAACCTGTAGTAGACCACCTTCAGGACGAGGCCGAGGACGTAAACGGCGACCACGGCGACGGAGGTGGCGGCGGCGTGCGGCGGCGGGACGGGCGCCTTCCAGCTCCACAGGGCGCACAGCAGGCAGACGTCCAGCAGCGCGTAACCATGGTAAAGCGTGGCGCGTTGGCGTGTGGCGCCCGGCGCCACGCAGAACCAGCTGAAGTACCAGATGAGCGCCACCGTGCCGCGGAACAGCCACTCGCCAACGGCGTCCCCATCCATGAAGTCGGTGTTGGAGCGCCAGGCACAGAAGAGGAGCAGCAGCCAGGAGCACAGGAAGTGCGTGAAGATGAAGCAGGGAAACATGGAGGCGAAGAGGGCCAACGCCAGGAGGCGGGGCGCCAGCAGCAGCAGGTTCCACAGGAAGTAGAGCAACGAGCCGCACAGCTGCGGAGGCGCCGAGGACGGCAGGAAGGAGCGCAGCGAGCGGTGGTAGGTGGTCACGCAGAAGGCCACGGCCGACACCGAGCCCACGGCCTTCAGCACTGAGGGGGGGGGAGGTGGGAAAGGGGGGTTAGAGGAGCCAGACAGAACCAGAACTAGGACCTGGGGTTTGCTCTGAGGGAGCTGGTTCTGGTTCCAGAGTCTTTAAAGCAGAGCATTCAGAAAGCAGAGGAACCAGTCTGAGGAACCAGTCTAGGTTCAGGATGCAGACCCCCCCTCTGAGGAACCAGTCTGGGTTCAGGAAGCAGACCCTCCCCC